TCTTTCTATCTATCTATCTATCTATCTATCTATCTATCTATCTATCTACCTATCTATCTATCTATCTATCTATCTATCTATCTATTCATGCCTTGCATTCATCATGCAAGTAAGTCTATTGACTTATTCAGTTGGGGACAAAAAATATGCTTTGTTCATTTTTGCTGCCTGCTATAGATGTTTTTTAGCACATAAGCTAACTTGGTACTATGTTTGTCTCAAAATCCATCTTACATTTTTCCACATCTTTCTTCTATCAACTTAATCGATTGAAATCAATCAGCACGTCATTTTCACGTATAAATTAGTCATTATTTTACTTGCTTTTGAATGAAATAAAAACAGTCTAATGTTTGTTTAATGCATTATTCAAGTTGCTTACTTCATGTCTTATATAAGAAATGAAGAAATTTTTTTTTACAATAGATGTAATTATTCTAACAACGCATATTGCAGAGACATTTTTGCAAAAAATTTTTACACTTTCGTAAATTTTGTTGTATGCATCAAAAATTGTGATTATAGTAATGATAGATGTAAATCATTCATCATTATCGTCATTATCATTATTATTATCATCATCATTCCCAGTATTATCAATAAAATTGTTAAAAAATAATGATGTTAATTAATTCTTATTAATTTATTAGTTATTTCTTTATTAAAAGAATAAAACTAAAAAAGTATAATTATTTATTCAGAGCAGTCTCTTGCCTTGCACGAGAATAGTATCAGTAAGTAAAGTCAAAATGATAATTAATGCTGCCTTGGAAAGCGTTATGATTTCCATTGTTCACTTTTCGTTTGAAGGAATTTATTTCAGTTATAATTGTATTGTCTATTTTTTATTCTTTTCATTTTGATATTTATTCTTTTAGCTAAAATATCTTTAAAATGTTTGGTTTTTCTCTGATTAATTAATTAATTGCTAGAATTGACCTTCCATTAATATTTATTACACTTATTGCTTTCTGATCAATAAAATTATTATCTTTTATTTAATATTATAATTATCATAATTATTTAAATAGCTTTTACTATTTATTTATTTATATAATGCTAACACTTTTTTGTCAGTAATTTTTAGCAAAGATAAAGATTATAAAATAAGTTAAAATGATTTTAACATTGCTAATTCTCATATAATTATTATGTATTCGTTTAGTAAATGTTACTGTAATGATAGAATTAGTAAATATCACTGTAATGATAGAATTGAAAGTTTATAAAACCTTAAGACCAAAAACATCATTAGATAAATTTAAGCTTCAACCAAAGGGAGAACTTGGACAAATTGACATACGAAATAAGTTTGGTAGATAACAGATTTTATAAACTTTCAATTTAATATAATATATATTACGAGGTTTTCACCTCATTACGATATCACATTTTTGGAGGATATATATATCTCAAAGATGAATTTTCACTTCATGATCGAATTACTGAATACTATAGGCATGGTGAAAATCTCTCAACTGATAAAAAAAGTCTAATATTATTTTGTGCGTAAATTTATACGTAACATATTTTTCATATTTTCTGCCCATACACGCAGTTATTTGTGCACTAAAAATTATTACTCACTCATTACACAGCTTTATTATACTGTATTTGAAAAATTTGCTTCTTTTTCTTCAATTAATCACAAATTAAAATCTTGTTTTGCAGTGATCAAATCTAGTTTTCACGCAAGAACATCTCATTTATTCGTTACAAATTAAATTCATTTTTACGCATAAAAAATTGGTTTATATTATCAGATCTTGATTTTGTCTATTACTTGATTTAGACTATTTTTTACACTATTATTTTTAATTCTCATTCTCGCACTCTTTAATACTACCACTTTATACAATTATTTGTCTATTTTATTTGGTTAATTAAAATGCTTTTTTGCAACCATTTTATTTATAGGTTTTACAACAATGCATTATTTGAATTAATTCATGACTAGTTGATAGGGAGTTAAAGGTGAAAGATTAGTCTGAAATAAATGAGGATTAAAAATGAAATTTGCAATTCAGTTTTTTTAATCAGATTGATAATTATTAATTTTCGGTGATAAAAAGACTGGTTATTCAGTTTTTATACACATTTAAATTGAAGTTTTGCAGAATTATCGCTGAGAAAATATAATTTTCAAAGTATTTAATTTATTATGTGATATTTTATAATTTTTAAAATATTTCTTCTCTGTTCAGTTTTCAGTATAATTTCTGTTGAGTTATATAATCAGTCTGATAAGGTTTGCCTTCTGTATTTTAT